AGAACACACATATGTTGTGTTGGGCCTTTTTAAGATAAATGGCACCAAAGTCTCAAACGCAGACGCCCGGGCGGATAAGGTATTCTCTTTTTTCCCCCCCTTACGGCGGCGAAGACAACCGGGCTCTCCAACACACCCTCTTCATTTCTTCCGGAAACCGGGGGGGGGGGGGGGGGGGGGGGAGGGGAGCCAATTCGACTTGGGTCGCACTCGGTCAGGGTCACGTTGTCGAGTCGTGGTGCGCCGGAACGGAAATTTTGGGCGGCCGCCCCATGTCCTCTCGTCCGCCAGCCATGTCCCTATTTCGACGAACGGACGATACACTTCCCCAAGTTTTTTGGCCGCCCCCCCACCCGGTCACCCCCACCCCCCTCCACCCACCCCCTTCCACCCCACCACCCCCTCACCACCCCCACCACCTTCCCAACGGTAGTGGGCACCCCCTCGCATTTTTTGTAAGTCGATACGCTCTTTATTGCGCGTTCGACGGCAAGCGGGAGGTTGCGGGCCACAGAAGCCGTAATCCGGAAAATCGTTCCAAACCGCGCGCGGGTCGCATTAGCTTGCTGACTGGCGGAGCGGGAAATTCCGGCGAATAGGTGAACGCCACCAACTCTTTTTTTTCTCTACTAGCTTGCCTGCTGGCCGCGACTGCCATTCCTTCAATGCGTATGGCTCCGGCTCACTCGCATGCGACCAACCACCACCACGAGAGCGCGATGCTTTCGTGCGGGACCAAGAGCGTGGGCGGGAGCGGGTCGCGGTTTGTGCCGCGGCTCGCGCCGCTCCCGCTGAGCCCGACCAAGGCGGCCGACGCGCGCGCGCGTACGGCTCGCGACGATGAGGCGGCACGGGTCCTCTCCTCGCTGGACCTCTCGACACCGAGACATGTGTACGGCCAGATTATGGTCGGCCCGACGTTCCAGGCTTCGGCGCTCCCTGCGGCGGCAAGCGCTGCGGAGGCGCCCACGGGCAACGACGAGTGCATGTGGCGGCCGTGCCCGGCCAAGATCTCAAACGCCGACGTGGACGCGTTTGTGGAAGCCGCGCGTGGGGCGTCTGTGCCCGAGGAGAGCGCACTGAAGGCGCTGATGGAGGCTGACTACGACGTCGACGCCGCGATGGAGGTTCTGCTTGCCGCAGACCATCCGCCGGCTCGGGCAGTGTGGTCGACGCGGGAAAAAGCCGTTTTTGAGCAACTGTATGCCAATCACGGGAAGGAGTTCCGCCTCATTGCCCCGCACTTGCCGAACAAGACGCTCGCCGACGTGGTCGAGTACTTTTATGCCGTCCGCCCGTGCGCTCACGATCCGTACGACTCGGACATGGAAGGCGCAGAGTCGGGCTCGTCGTCGGCGTCGGAGCTCGAGTCTGATGAGGAGAGCCAGGTCGACGACGACGTTTTTGCCTACCTCCGCAACGAGCTGGCGACGCCGCAGGCCGCGCCCGCGGCGCTTGACGCGTCGCGGCTGTTTGTCGGCTCAACGCCGATGGCGTCGCGGCCTGCCACGCCGCACGGCCCGGTCTTTGCCTCAGACTCGCGCTGGTCGCTCGGCCTGCCCCCTTTGCTCCCCGGAGCGGCATCCGTCAGTAACTCGGGCCCGTCGACGCCGTCGCCCTCGGGCGCGTCGCGCAAGCGCAAGTTTGCAATCGACGACAACGACGTGACTGCCCAGGCCTCGGTCTCGCCCATCCCCGGGATCGGCGTTGCAACCGAAGCGGCGTCGACGCTCGCCTCCTTTGGCGCCCCGAGCTCGGGGCCAGTTATGTGGTCGCCGTCGCAGCCGCGGCCGCCGGTCCCGGCGCTCGACCTTGGCGAGTTTGACTTTGACACCGATTCGCTCCTCGGGCCAGACCTGCCGTCGCCAAAGCTGCTGGCTCGCCCGGCCAAGCGGCACAAACCGCTTGCACCTGCGCCGCCGTCGCTCGCACCCGCACCGCCACCGCTCTTTGGCGATCTCTTCCCGGTCGCTTCGCAGCCGGCTGCCGAGCCGACCGAAGAGACGTGCACCATTCAGTAGCGAGAATATTGACAATGTACACTTTGTTTGTGACCTGCACGCTCTTCCACTTTTGCTTTACTATTCCCCAACCCAGCGAGCACGCCCTCGCGGGCGTCTAGCCGCAGCAGCCCTTGGACTCCTTCTTGGGCGGCTCCTGTGAGAGGTAGACGACCGAGGGATCGAGTACTTGTTGCGGGGCCACGTTGACCTTGGCCTCGTTCTCGAGAATGTGGTGAACAAGGAAGCGGCCGGCGTCGGAAATGCCGCGCGCAGTCTTGGCCGAGGTCTCAAACCAGCCGGCAAAGCCGTACTCGTCGCAGAACCGCTGCATCTCTTCAGGATCCAGGTTGACCTCGACCGAGTCCTTCAGATCGCACTTGTTGGCGAGGAGGACGACCGGAATGGGCGAGCCGTCGGCAAGGTGGACTTTGTCGTCAATATCTTTCTTCCACGACTTGACCCGCTCAAAGGTGGCCGGCCGCGTGACGTCAAAGACCACAAAGCCGCCGACGGCCGCCTTGTAGTACACCCGCAGCATCTTGCCGTACCGCTCCTGCCCGGCAATGTCCCACAGCTGCAGCCTCACAACGGTGTTGGCATCCAGCTCAAGAACTTTGAGCGCAAAGTCGACTCCGATCGTAGCGCGGAAATCCTTGAACACATCCCGCACATACCGGTTGATGATTGCTGTCTTGCCCGTCCCCTCTTCTCCCACCAAGATGACCTTGAACAAGAACTCCAGCTGCGGCGCGTCCTCGTCCTACTCTTCCACCACACCACCACAATCCCACCACGTTCCCCATCAGTCTCCCTCCCCCCCTCCCCCCCCCCCCCCCTCTCCTCCCCTCCCCCTCCCCCTCCTTACTATCCCCATCCCAACCACCTCAACACACCTCGTGACGTCCAAAAACGAACACACGCTCCAAGCCACCGCCCCCTTTCCTCCCTCTCCTCCTCCTCCTCCCCCCCCTCCCCCTTCTCTCCCCCCCCCCCCTTTCCTTCACCTCATCTCTTCCACTACAGTCCGTACAATGGCTGCCATCTCGACACCAAAGCTGAGAGAACAGGTTGGCAGAGGTGACTCGTTGGAGCCGCCGGCCGACTGGCCCGTCGGCTGCCCTCCTGGACTGCTGGCCGCATCCCTGGACCGTCGGCCACCCGGCCACTTTGCTTATCGGCACTTCACCTGGACCGATTGGCTCCTTGGCTGGATCAAGGCCAACCGGCTCATTAGCCAAGGGACTAGACTAGAGACGGGACGCGGTGGATTCAGGTCGGCTGCAAGCTGCTGGCTCAACAGCACATGGGCTCAATTCGGCCCAATCGACGGGCGCGGCGAGATCGTGGCGGAGCAGGCCACAGCCCAAGCTCACAGGCAAGCCCAGAAGCAAGCTCGAAGACCCAAAGCCTTGATCGAGCCACCCCCCTTATCCAGCCCCATCACCCTGGCTCGTCATCCCGCCGGCACCAAAGCCCATCCGTCCCAGCTACGATTTCATTCGCCCCACGAATGGAAAGACAAGACACTCAGGGGACAGACGTCAACAAGAGCAATTGGTTGCACCTCACCCTCAGTCGGGGAGGACATGTCACAGGTGACCTCGCTGCGAGAGTGCACACCTGCCGACGTGGACAAGTATGTGTGTATTCCTGTGGACGAGCGCATCGCCATCCGCAAGTTTGTCGTCGACCGCAAGGGCCTGACCTGGGTCCGTGGCTCCGCCCTCTACCAGTTCACCAAGACCGAGCTGGTCCAGGTCTACAAGCGCATTGTGGCCAGGGATGATGTCTCGGGCGTGCTGTACGAAGGTGAGGCGCTGCGAGCTCTCCTCGGGTTCAGGACGGCTGACGGTGCAGAGATCAACGCTCTCAGGCTCAAGCCCAAGTCGTTTCCGGGCATCACCCTCTTCATCCAGAGCACTTCGGTCAATCGGGTGCTCTTGCCGGATACTACCATGCTCTACGAGGCCTCGCCTGAAGATCGCCAGACGCTCGGCTTCCGTCCGGCAGACGCGCTGGTCAATGCCAAGGAGCTCCGCGGCTCCCAGTCGCGCATGAAAGAGTTCTTGGCCACCGAAGGCGCGTCGTCGTCGCCGCCGCCACCGTCGCTCACACCACCACCGCCTTCGGGCACATTGCAGAGGAGTCCAATGCCAGCGGTTGCCGCGATGGGCCAGCCTCCGCCCAACACGCTGTATGCGGCGCCGGGCACGCCGCCGCCAGCTCCGCCGCTCCCGGCCAGCCTTGCCGCCGTTCCAGTCTCGGCGTGGTCGGTGGCAAATGTCGTCGAGTGGCTCGAGTGGCTCGGGCTCGGGAACAAGCTCGGAGCCGCCTTTGTCGCTGCTGACATTGACGGCGAGGTTCTAGCCGAGCTTACCGACGACGAGCTCCGCGACGAGCTCGGGTGCACGCTCGGCATGGCCAAGAAGCTGGCGCGGGCGCGAGTGGCGCTGTTCGGTGGCGGCTACGCCTCGCCGACACTGTCGTCTCCGCTGCCTGCGGGCGGTGCGTCCGAGGTGCTAAGTCCCGGCGATGCCGTCGAGTACGAACAACCGGCGTGGGAGATCCCCATGGCGGACCTGACCAAGATCGAGATGGTTGGCTCGGGCGCGTTCGGGCAGGTCTTCCGCGGCAAGTGGCGTGGCGCGCCGGTCGCCATCAAGATGCTCTCGATGCGGACGCTCGACGCGCAGCAGCTTGATGACTTTCGCCGCGAAGCCGCCATCATGACCCAGCTCGAGCACCCACACGTTGTGTCGATGATGGGCATCTCATCGCAGCCACCTGACTTGGCCATTATTGTCGAGTTCTGTCCCGGCGGCTCGCTCGACAAGTATCTATTTGATCCGTCCATCGAACTCTCCGACTGGCACAAGCTCAAGCTCGTCCGTGGCATTGCCGCCGGCATGACGTACCTCACGTCGGCCGGCGTTGTCCACCGCGACCTTGCCGCCCGCAACATCCTCGTCACCGAGGACGGCGAGGCCAAGATCTCCGACTTTGGCATGTCGCGTGCAGACCTTATGCCCAAGAACACCACAGAGTCGGCAGTTGGCCCGCTCAAGTGGATGGCGCCAGAGGCACTCGCCCGCTCGTACTCGGAGAAGACCGATGTGTGGGCGTTCGGCGTCACCCTCTGGGAGATTGTCAACCGCTCGCTCCCGTTCCCAGAGCTGAACAACATCGAAGTCGCGGCCGGCGTTCTCCACAACGGCCTCCGCCTGCCAATCTACCCGGACACACTCCCCGAGTGGTCCGCCATCATGGTCGCTTGCTGGGCCCAGGATCCCGCCGCCCGCCCTTCCTTTGCCCAGATCTCCGAACACGTCGAGTCGCTGTGGGCAGCCGCCGCCCCCGCGCCGGTACCTAAGCCTGCACCCGAGCCTGCGCCCGAGGCTGCACCGACGTCATCGGCCTAGCGATAAAAGATGTGATGCGCAGCCGGTGGCTCTCGCGCGACACGTGCTGTCAGCGCACTCTTCTTGCTCCACTCGCTGTCAAGACCACTTCTCCGCGCGCCATCTCCACGCTCCCCATGGCTGCCCATCCCCGCACCCTCCCCATCCCGGGCAAGTATGTTCTGTCGTCGGTCGACAACCTCATGCCGCCAGTCTATGTGCCTGTTGTGTGGAGCTATGTCGCGCCCGAGGCGGTGACCGAGCCGAGCTGGAGTGAGGCAACACTGCCTGGCCTGCGCACCTCGTTCGAAGCCACGGTCCGCGAGTTCTTCCCGCTCCTCAACCATCCGCTGCGGCACGCAGACGACATCGGCTTTTATGTTGCTACCGACGACGATGCGCTACCGGCGCTGTTCCAGGTCGGCGAGCGGGTGGCTGGGGCTGCGGTGCCGGAAGTGGGCGAGGCGACGGGCGAATGGATGCCGCCGCGATCGAGCTACGCACCGCACGATCCCGAGAACGATGCCATCGGCACAGAGCACGGCGAGCGGAGTATGCTGGTCCGTGTCACGCCGATGAGCAACGGAGTGTGTATTTTTGCCGCTTTTCACCACTCCGTGGTCGACGCTGGCTCGATAGTGGCGTTCATGGCCGCGTGGTCGGTGGTGGCAGAGGAAGGGCTCGAGGCCGCGCGCGCAAAGGTCAGTATGACTGACGATCGCAGCCTGCTCCGCGGCAAGGCCAGCGAGACGGAGCTTGCTTTGCCGATAACCTGTGGCCAGGCTATCCCAATCGAGTACCTTCCCCAAGCAGAGCTGAATGCGCTGGCACAGACGACACCGGCGCCCGAGCTCCTGCGCAAGCGGTACACGCGAGCCCAGATCGACGCAGCCAAGAGTGCACAAGCCGAGGGCGACTTTGTGCCGACTGCCAACGAGGTGGTGTGCACCGACGTGCTCAAGACCGTGGCGGCGCGGCTGGACGCCGATGCCGAGTTTGCGCTGCAGTTTCCGGCCAACTTGCGCGGGCGATACCACAGTCTCCCTGCCGACTACTTTGGCGCCGCGGTGCTGATGTGCATCACCAAGGGCTGGAGGGCGGGTGAAATTGTCGACATGCCAGCAGTAGACGTGGCGCGGGCGATGCGGGCGGCCAAGGCCGCGCACACCAGCGAGGCTCACATCCAGACTGTGCTCGACTGGGAGGCGAGCCGGCCGTCCAAGCCACGGGTCTTTGTCGAGGCCGATGGCCATCATCTTGCGCTCACCAACTGGACAAGCTTTGAGTTTTATGACATCACTCTTGGCCTTGGCCAGCCATCGCTTGTCATTGTCGGCTACGCAATGTGGATCCCGTTCCTCGGCTATCTCCTGCCGTGCGAGCCATCAGCCGGGCGCGCGATCGATGTCATTGTCTCGCTCCCGCCGCGGTCAGACAAGGCGAGGCAAGAGCCCAACGAGCTTTCCATGTGCTCATAGCCATCGGACAATCGAACATTCGATAAAAAGGAGTTGGCGAGTGTGGTTGAGCAGAGCTGCGCCGAGTAGAGATGACCCGGCGAGTCGCCGTGACAAGACCAGACCTCGGCAGCGCGGCCAGAGCGGTGGGCAAGGCTATATGCATTCCACTCAATAGCAGTTGGGACCATGTACCAACTCTCAACGTTGGACAAGCTCATGCCACCGGTGTATGTGCCTGTGGTGTGGAGCTATGCTGCGGACGAGGCAGCGGCCGAGCCGAGATGGAGCGAGGAGACGGTGCCGGCTCTGCGCGACTCGTTCGAGGCCACGGTCCGAGAGTTCTTCCCGATCTTCAACCATCCTGTGCGACACGACGAGAAGAGCGGAATGATACTCGCGACCAATGACGATGCGCTGCCGGCTCTGTTCCAGGTCGGCGAGCGAGTGACTGAAGCAGCGGTGCCGGAGGCTGGCACGCCCGCGGGCGAGTGGCGGCCGCCGCGATCAAGCTACGCACCGCACGATCCCGAGAATGATGCCATCGGCGCAGAGCATGGCGAGCGGAGTCTGCTTGTCCGAGTCACGCCAGTGAGCAACGGGGTTTGCGTCCTGGCTTCGTTCCATCACTCAGTGGTTGACGCCGGCTCGATGGTGGCGTTCATGATGGCATGGTCGGCAGTGGCGGAGGAAGGGCTCGAGGCCGCGCGCGATAAGATCGAGGTTGTGATGGAGCCGAGCCTGCTCCAGGGCGAGGCTGATGCTGCGCCAAGCAGCACGCCGCGGACATGCCGCAATCTCATTCCGATGCCATACATGACAACCCGCGATCTGGATGCATGGGCAAGCACTCTTCCCGAGCCGGCGCTGCTGCGCAAGCGGTTCACCCGCGCCGCCCTCGAGGCGACGCGCGAGGCAGGGCGGACTGCTGGTTTTGTGCCGACCTCGCACGAGATGGTGTGCGCCGAAGTGATGCGGGAGGCGGCCAAGTACCAGGCTCAAGACATGCCGTTCTCGCTACAGTTCCCAGCTAATCTCCGAGGACGCTACCGCAATCTGCCGGACGCGTACTTTGGCTCTGCTGTCGTGCTCTGTGTCACCGAGCCGATGCCGGCCGGAAGCGTGGCCAAGGCTGATGTTGCGGTGCTTGCGCCGATGATCCGTGCTGCCAAGGAGCGATGGACAAGCAGCGCCGAGGTCGATGCTGTGCTCGGATGGGAGGTGGCGCGAGACGTCCGCCCGCGGCACTTTCCCGAGTCTGATGGCGCTCACATGGTTCTGACCAACTGGACAAGCTTCCCGTTTTTTGCTGTTACCCTCACCCTCGGCACGCCCGTCCACGTTGCGCCCGCGTACACGATGTGGGTCCCCAATCTCGGCCACATCCTCGCCACCGCGCCGTCGACCGATCGCGCCGCAGACGTCATATTTTGCCTTCCAGAGCCGGTACAGGCCAACTCCGAGACGGCGCCGTAGCGTGTAGACACACAGCAGCCTCTCACTGTGGCTTTTATGCTCCGTCGCGGTTGGTGGAAAGCGCCACACGTTGAACATTGCATGCGCATCAGCGCGCGCACGTATTGCGTTGCACCTGTCGCCGCTTTCCGGAAACCGTTAGCACATGGCCGCAGCTCCAACCGGCCCCACACGCCATGCTCTCTCGTCGGTCGACAACATCATGCCTGCAGCATACATAAACGTGGTATGGAGCTATGTCGCGCCCGAGGCGGCGGCCGAGCCAAGCTGGAGTGAGGCAACACTGCCTGGCCTGCGCACCTCGTTCGAAGCCACGGTCCGCGAGTTCTTCCCGCTCCTCAACCATCCGCTGCGGCACGCAGACGACATCGGCTTTTATGTTGCTACCGACGACGATGCGCTGCCGGCGCTGTTCCAGGTCGGCGAGCGGGTGGCTGGGGCTGCGGTGCCGGAAGTGGGCGAGGCGACGGGCGAATGGATGCCGCCGCGATCGAGCTACGCACCGCACGATCCCGAGAACGATGCCATCGGCACAGAGCACGGCGAGCGGAGTATGCTGGTCCGTGTCACGCCGGTGAGCAACGGGATTTGCGTCCTGGCTTCGTTCCACCACTCGATGGCCGACGCTAGCGCAATGGTGGCGTTCATGGTCGCGTGGTCGATGGTGGCGGAGGAAGGGCTCGAGGCTGCGCGCGCACAAGTCGACGTCGTCCACGACCGCAGCCTGCTCCGCGGCAAAGCGAGCAAGGCGGAGCAAGCACCACCGGCCAACTGCGGCAAGGCCATTCCTTTTCCGTATGCGACAACGGCAGCTCTCGAAGCGATGGCGAGCACAGTACGCGCGCCTGAGCTCCTGCGCAAGCGGTACACGCGAGCTCAGATCGACACAGCCAAGAGTGCACAAGCCGAGGGCGACTTTGTGCCGACTGCCAACGAGGTGGTTTGCGCGGATGTGCTCAAGACCGCAGCGGGACGATTGGACGGCGACACCAAGCTGGACCTACAGTTTCCGGCCAACTTGCGCGGGCGATACCACAGTCTCCCGGCAGGCTACTTTGGCAACGCCGTGTTGCCATGCGTCACACAAGCTTGGCAGGCTGCAGCACTCATCGCTGCCGACGATGTGACTCTTGGCCGGGCGGTCCGCGCCGCCAAGGAGACGTTTACTCGGGTGGCGGCGGTCGATGCGGTCCTCGCCTGGGAGGCGTCGCGGGTGACCAAACCTCGCCACTACATCGAGGCTGCTGGCGAGCACGTCATTGTCACCAACTGGTCGACGTTTCCATTTTACTCGGTCACGCTTGGTCTCGACATGCCGGCGTACGTCATGCCCGTGACAACGATGTGGTTCCCTCTGCTCGGCTTTGTCATGCCGTCGCCGCCGTCGTTGCCGCGCGGGCTCGATCTGATCATGGCTCTTCCTCAGCGTGGCACGATCTCTTAAAGTCCATGGCAAACACGCTTCATCACATCTCCCTCCCACGAACTCGTGCACTTGACCTCACGCCAACAAACGGCGAGTGCCCGGAGGGCGGTGGCGCGAAGCGACGTGACTCGCGACAGACACCACTGCACTCGGGGCTCGGGGAGCAATGGAGGAGCTCACGCTCAAGAAGGCCGAGCTAAAGGCACAAATCCGGCGCCTCAAGGTACGTACACGTATCTATGCTCTTCCTCTCCCCCTCCCCCATGCGTATCCCCAATGAGAGTGCGGGTGAGACAGCGCGCGGTCTGTTCTCGGCTGGCTGTTCCGCGAGTTTTTGGGCAAAGAGCCACGCGGGGCGGGGAAAGGCACTTTGGCGGGCCAGGGGCGACTTGCACATCGGGCAGATGGGATAGCGACTGACAGGGTGTTTGGACATGTCTATGTATGTATGTATGTATGTATGTTGTGTGTTTGTGTTTGTGGGTGTGCAGGAGGAGGGTGCCGAGCCGGAAAGGATTGCGCCAGTGTTTGAAGAGTACAAGGCGGTGTCGGCGGCGCTGAAGGAGAAGGAGGCTGCGGCTGGAGCTGCGGCTGCAGCTGCTGCTGCTACTGTTGCTGCTCCATCTGCCATTGGTGGCGCGGCAGCAGGTGCCGCCTCTGGCGCGGCGGCGACACCAGCGAGAGGTGCTGATCAGGGTGCCATGAGCCGAGAGGACGCCGAGGCGCGCAAGTCGTTCCTCAAGGGCGAGATCAAGCGCGGCAAGGCCGAGGGCTGGGATCCGGCCCGAGTCAAGGTGCTCTACGACGAGTACGTGGCGCTCAAGTCTGGGCTCGAGTCGGGCCAGTTTGAAGCGGGTGGCAGCAGGCCAGCGGGCGAGGCTGCAGCGGGAACTGCGGCTGTGCTTAGGGCGGGACCTGGTTTTACGCTCGACGAGGTGGTCATGCTCAAGGACGAGGCCAAGCGGCGGGTGAAGGATATCAAGACCAGCGCGCCGAGCGATACCGAGGCGCTGCGTGAAGTGTACGAGCTCTACACGGCACTCAAGGCCGACATCGAGGCCTACCCGCAGATTTCCGACGCAGCGGGGCGGATGAAGGCGCTGATGGGCGGGAAGGGCGCAAACGATGGCAGGGCATCGGCCGGGACGCGCAAGGTTGCGGTAGCACCGGAGGCGCCGACACCGATGGCTGCGCCGACGACGACGCAGCCTGCGGTGAGTGCGGGCGAGGCGGCGCGGCTTGGCGAACAGATGTGGGCGGCGGCTAAGAAGGGCGACGCCATTCTTGTGCAGGAGCTGATCGAGGCCGGGGCAGAGGTCAACACGACGATGGAAAATGGAGCGAGCGGCCTGGTGGTGGCGGCACTGCGTGGCCACTACGGAGTCGCCAAGGTGCTGACGGCTGCCGGTGCGGACGTGGAGGCGCAGGCACAGGGTGCGAGCCCGCTGTATTGCGCGGTGCAGAACGGGCACGTCGAAGTGGCCAAGGTGCTGCTCAATGGCGGAGCGTCGCCCAACTCGGTCAACACGACGGCGGCAGTGACGCCTCTGTGGATGGCGGCGTACATGGGCGATACGGAGATGGTCAAAATTCTACTGGACGCCGGAGCCGACGTGCACGTGGCCAAGCCGCAGGGAGGCATCACGCCGCTGTCGATTGCAGTCGAGCGCGGCAAGCTCAAGTGCGTGGAGCAGCTCATTGCGGCAGGCGCGGACGTTGAGGCGCGTGACGCTGACGGGTTTACCTGCCTCTGCGTCGCCTCGCAGCATCAGAACCTGGCCATCGTCGACGCCCTCATTGGCGCGGGCGCCGACCTCAACGCGACGACGGCGTCGGGCGATGCGCCGATCGACATTGCCGCCACCTGCGGCTTTGCACACACTGTCGACCGCCTCATCGACGCCGGAGTCCCGTTCCGCAACAACAAGAATGTCCAGGAGCTGGACCGCCTCCGCGATCTGCAGTAGCCAGTAGCCAGCCGTTTGTCTTGGTCGAGCACAAATGAAGACTAAACAGCGCTCAGGCCGCGTCTTCCTGGAGGGCGCGGACGGCGGCGAGGTTCTCGAAGAACTCGGGGTCAGCCAGAACGCCGCCGGCCGCCGCAATCTTGGCGTGGATGCTGGCCAACCACTCGGCCTCGCGGGCCTGGCCAGCCGGGTCGTCCAGTGCGCTTGTCTTGCCCATGGTCCAGTCCAGGGCGGCCGAAGTCGACGGCTTGGCGACCTGATTGATGTCGAGTTCGTCGTGTTCGGCGTAGTGGGCAAGGAAGACGTCGATCGACTCGGCGCGAGCGTCGAGTAAGTCCCATTCCTCCTTCGTTCCCTCGAGCATGCCGGCGTACTTGAGGACGTCCATGAGCGGCGTGGTGCCGTCTTCGCCACGGCAGGCGCTGGCGTCGGCGCCGGCCTCGAGGAGCATCTTGATGGGCCCAGGCTGCCCGTTGCGCGCCGCCTCGTGGAGCGGCGAGAGGCCGCGCTCGTCCAGCGCGTTGACGTTGGCGCCGGCGTCGATGAGCAGCTTCATCACCTTGACCGCGTTATTGCGTGCCGCAAAGTGCAGGACCGAGGCGTCATATAGCTCGGGGTATGTCGTTGTGGCCACCGCCGGGTCAGCCTCCAGCGCCTTGGCAATGTGCTTGGCGTCGTCGTTCTCCACCAGCTTGCGGAGCTTGTCCTTGGTCATGTTGGCACCCATGGCGATTGTTGTCCAGAGGAGTATGACTTGTTTGCCTTGCCTATCCCACACCCCTATGCCCTTTGACTTTCCCGCCGGGCTATTTATTTGGTTTGGGTGTTTTTCGCAAATGCGACGGGGGCGTGGGTGCGGAGCTGCGGTGAAATGGTTGTTGCGGTGTGTGTGTGCGTGGGTAGGTCGAGCTGCAAACCGAGCAAAATTTTTCACCTTTCCCTTCCCTTCCCCCCCCCCTCGCTCACTTTTGCTCCTTCCTTTCAACGAACGCACTTCTCACTTGGCAACCTCCGCCGCCTTCGCCCTCCACTCTTCGACCACCACTCCCCCCCCCCCCCCTTTCCCAAAGGCTCGATCATGCAGACGGCGGACAGGTTTCCCGAGGCCGAGAGCCTGCCTGTGGCTGCGGTGGTGGCCAAGTTTGCAGAGACGGGCGAGGACGACCGACTGAGCGTGCTGGACTTTAACTACCAGGCGCTGCCGTTTCTCCCGCAGCAGGGCGGGCTGTGGAACCGGCTGGGGCATGTGACGCACATGTTTCTGACCGACACGGGAATCCGGACGTTGCCACCGGCGCTCGGGCTGATGACCTCGCTCGAGTCGCTGCACCTCGGACAGAACATGCTGACGGCACTGCCAGCGAGCCTCTGGTCGCTGACGGCGCTCCGCGAGTTAATTCTGACGGCGAACGACCTCGCCGAGCTGCCGACGGGTGTGGGCAACCTCCGCGCTCTGACCTCGCTCAATGTTGCCGACAACGCGCTGCAGCAGCTGCCTGCCGAGCTCGGGGCGCTCTCGCGGCTTCGGTTGCTCAACGTGTCGCATAACGAGCTTGCCGCGCTGCCGCCGCAGCTCGGCGAGTGCTCGTCGCTCTCAGTTCTCAACGTCGGCTTCAACTACCTGAAGGAGCTGCCGCTGGAGCTTGCAGCGGCGCCGCTGGAGTACGTCGACATCCAGTTCAACCCGCTTGATCCGGTACTCCTTGCGGCAGTCTCCAAGTTTGGCGTCGAGGCATTAATGCTCTCGCTCAACCACGCACGGATCCACGTGCGGCTGGGGCGGCTGGTGCCGCCATCGGACGATGCTGTGGCCGAGGCCGAGCTGGTGGAGCGGGCGTCGCTTGCGGTACCGATTCCGACGGGCGCATATCATGCGCCGGGCTCACCGGCGCGGACTCCGTTAAGCGGCACAGAACGGGCCGGCGAAGCTGGCGAGCTCGACTTTGACCATGTGGATGAAGAGCGTAAGCGCTTGTTCTCGTCGACATTTACGGGCGATTTGTCGAGCTCGAGCGTGGCACGGGCCAAGGCGCGGTCGGCGACGCCAACGGCGACGGCGACGGCAGCGCCGATTAAGATGCGGCCACGGGCGGTGTCGTCGGCGGACATGCCCTCTGTTCCACCACGAGTCCTGCATGCGCGGGCGCGACAGCGGCCGGCCAAGCTCTCATCGGAGCGGAATCTCGGGCACCTATTGCGCCGCGAGAGTGCGTGGCGGGCGAGCCCAGCTCCGATGCTCAACTCGATCGATGTGTCGGACAAGTCGCCGCTGCGAACGCAGCTCGCGCTCGGCGGCATGCGTCGGTCGGGCTCGTCCAAACTCGCTTCGGGCGCAATGGGCGAGAGCGTGAACGTGAGCGTGGCACGACGGCCGCTTGGCGGACACGCTTCGCTCCGACTCGACACGCTCTTAGTCTCGCGGCTGAGCAGTGAGGTGCGCGGGACTAAGTCGCCCAAGGCGGCATCGCCGGCCGAGTCGCGGCGGTACTACCATGTCGAAGAGGCTGGCAACGGGGAAGACGAGCCGCCGGATCTGCCTGTCATGCGGCGGTCGTCGTCGATGGAGGCTCCGGTTGGACTCGGGGCGTCGCTGCTGGAGGGTGCGGCGGAGACGACGGCGTCACCGCGCGGGACCAACGAGACGGCGGACGATGCGCGTACGGCTATCCTGGAGCGAAAGGCCAAGCTGGCGCGCAACGTTACGCTCGCCCGCGAGCTGGTCGACACACTCGAGGCATACGTCGAGGAGCCCGGAGGCACCCGACCGCCACCGGCCAAAGGTCTTTTTGCGTCGGTGCTTGGAACGCAGGTCTCGTCGCTTGCCGCCGTTTTTCGGACCAAATCGTCGGAGCGCGAGGAGCAAGCCAGCGAGGTCCATGTTCCGGCGCCGGGCTTTCTGGCCTCGCCGAGCCTCTCTGTGCACGGCCTCTCGGGCTCGGACGATTACTTTGCGCAGGTCTCGGCGTCGTTCCCGTCGCAGCTCCAGCTCAACTACCACGGGTACCACTCGTCGCTGCACGCGCGGTCCGACACGCCGCTCTCTGATGGCTCGCTCTCGCTGCCGGGCGGAGCCAGCGACTTGGAGCTGCTCGGCACAGAATCTGAGGGCTCATCGGGTAAGTCGACGCCTCACACCTCGCCGCGAAGGGTATTTGACTCGCACGAGGTGATGACCAAGTTTCTGGAGGCAATCCAGTCGGCCACGCCGTCGGCGGGGCGCTCGAGTGAGGCGCCGTCACCGCGGCCTGCTGGTCGTGCAGGGCTGGCCTCACCGCTGGCGCAGATGCAGTCGTCGGCACTGTCCTTGCCAACGCAGCGGTGGCTGGCGGCCAAGGACAAGATTCTGGCGATGCGGCGCGTGGCAGCAAGCGCGACGGCCGATTCGTCGGCGGCGAGCGTTGTCAACCAAGCGACAGCGAGCGAGGGCCCGGCATTGTTTCGCCACGGTCGGTGTCGGGAGCGGAGCGGAGTGTGGTGGTGAGCGGCAAGTCGAGCGTGAACTCGCTCGTGGAGGCGCTGGCAGCCGAGGCGCTGCCTGATCCCGAGTATGTGCACGACTTTCTGCTCATGTACCGCGAGTTGCTGACGGGTCCGGAGCTGCTGGGCAAGCTTGTTGAGCGGTTCAACATTACGACGCCAAGCAACCCAACGCCTGAGGAGATTGAGCACTACAACAAGTACAAGGTTGTGATCCAGATCCGGGTGGCCAACGTTGTCCGGCGGTGGATTGACGGGTTCTGGCATGATTGGTGCGAGCCAATCATGCTCGATGGCCTGCACGAGTTCTTTAAGTTGCTTGTTGAGTCTGAGCTTGACGCGATGGCGCTGCAGCTTGTGGGGCGCGTCCGCGACCAGCTGCAGGAGCACGACGCGGCGGCCGAGGCGGCGCGGCGGGTGCGGCGCAATTTGTTTGGCTCATCGATGAGCGGGCCAGAGACGCTGTCGCGAAGCAGCGCCGGATGGAACGGGGCCAAGGCCATGGTGCTCGAGGTGGAGCCGTCGGTGGCAGCGTCTGCGCTCACCCGGATCGAGATGGAGTACTTTGCGCGGATCCGGCCGGAGGAGTTTCTTGCCCCGTACTGGGCGAGCGCCGAAAACAGCGAGGAGGCGATACACGCCCACGCGCCGAACCTCATCCACTACATCAAGCGGTTCAACATTGTGGCCGGATGGGTGGCGACCGAGGTGGTGATGGCGCGCGACTTGCGGACGCGCGTCGCCCTCATCAAGCGGTTTGTGGTCATTGCTGAGAAGCTGCTCGCCATGCACAATTACAACACGCTCATGGCGGTCCTCTCTGGACTCAACATGCCCGTGGTGGCGCGGCTCTCGCGGACGTGGTCGCGGGTCTCGGCCAAGTACCGCGGCCCGCTGGCGCAGCTGCACCGACTTATGGACCCGGCGGGTAACTACCAGACTTACCGCAAGAAGATCCGGCGGATCGAGCCGCCGCTCATTCCATTCATCGGGTTGCTAGTGGCAGATCTTATGTTTATCCATGCAGCCAATGCGGGGGCGGAGAGCGAGGCCGGACTGGTTGATGTCGAGTGGTTGCGGTCGATTGCCGCGGTGGTGCTCGACATTGGGCGGCTGCAGAGCCACAAGCCTGTACTTGTGGTGGAGCCGCACGTGTATGCGTCGTTCAAGTACGTGTTTGTGGCATCAGAGACGGCGCTGGTAGAGGCGTCGCTTGCGGTGGAGCCCGAGGACTTTGAGCTCGAGCAGTGAAATGCGCGGTCCACACCAGCCGCGAATAGAGCTACTGCGGCGAGGGCGGCGGCGAGGAGGGGAGTTGCTTCCGGGATGGGGCCCAATGCAGCGAGAAGCGGGGCCATGTTTGCCCACACCAGCCGCGAATAGAGCTACTGCGGCGAGGGCGGCGGCGAGGAGGGGAGTTGCTTCCGGGATGGGGCCCAATGCAGCGAGAAGCGGGGCCATGTTTGCCCACACCAGCCGCGAATAGAGCTACTGCGGCGAGGGCGGCGGCGAGGAGGGGAGTTGCTTCCGGGATGGGGCCCAATGCAGCGAGAAGCGGGGCCATGTTTGCCCACACCAGCCGCGAATAGAGCTACTGCGGCGAGGGCGGCGGCGAGGAGGGGAGTTGCTTCCGGGATGGGGCCCAATGCAGCGAGAAGCGGGGCCATGTTTGCCCACACCAGCCTCGAGGCCGGCGATGGTGTCGAGGAGTAGTGTGATTACGTCTGTGACGGCGCCGCCGGAGGCAATGTAGGCGGCCTTGAGGGCCTCAAGACGATCGACACCTGGGATGCGGAGGAGGATCTCGACCATACCGTAGTTATCCTCTTCTGCAGCAACACAGAGGGCGGTGACTGCCTCGGCGAGGTAGTCGTGAAAATGGCGCGGCTGGACGCCGCCGACCCAGCACATTTCGGAGATGTAGTAGTCGACGATGACGGCGGCAACCTCGAGGCGGCCTTCAAAGGCGGCCTCCTCGAGCGGTCCGATGAGCGGGACGTCGTCAGGGACGTAGGAAAGAATGAGCGAGGCAGACGCAGCGCGGTTGGAGCGAATGGCGGCCGATAGGGCGGCGATGAAGATGTCTTGGGCGTCGCCGATGCCAAGATTGTGGTTAGCGGCCGCGCACTCTGCGGCGACGCGGATGACTTCATCAAGTCCGCGCCACGCGGCATAGTCCATAATGGTGGCGATGGCACGGTAGTCAACATATGGGCGCGACGAGATGACAGCGAGCGCCTCGGGATGGTCGTACAGCGCGGCGAGGTCGTGAAGCGGGCGGCGGAGGTTGTCGGCAACGTCGGCGAGATCGCCAGCCTCGTCGCGGGTGAGCTGGACCGAGTCCGGCGCCAGTGCTGGATGGGCCCAGAGAGTGTCAAAAACGGCACGCCACTCTGCGGCCATCTCTGGATCGGCGACGAGCGGAGCGGCCGGGTAGGCGAGGACACGGGCAAGAAGGCCGACGACGTCGCCATCGTACATGTCGTTCATGGCTGGGAGGCGGGCGACAGCAATGCGAGCAGCTTTCCAGTAGGCGTGGGTGACTGTCCACTCAAAGCCCATGAGCGCGTAGTGAAGGGCCTGGACGTAGCTGCTGCCGGTCAGCCTGGCATTGATGGCTCGGCAAGAGAGCTTGAGGGCGCGGACGTCTGCTGCCGACAGGAGCCCGAGCTGAAAACTGATGTACTGCAGACACTCGGCAGGCAGCATTGCCAGTGACGCTATGTCAGACATGACGGGAGAGAAGGATGGGGGAGTGCGAATGACGAGTGGCTGGTTGGCACCGTGGCGGTGGAGGCTGCGGCGGAGGGAGTAGGGGTGGAGGTGGCGGTGGTGGAGGCGAAGGGGGGATATTGGACGAACTCCGGCGCGAGTGAGGCTGCGGCGAGTAAACCAGAAATGCAAGAGTAGGCAGAAGGGAGAGAGGAACCAAGTCCAGTCGGATGTGGTGGAGGAGGAACAGTGACAGGGGCGGAGTAAGGGTACGCGACCAAGCCTGTGGGAGGGAGAGGTGCGAAGTGCCTGCCGGCCAAGTGAGGAACGGGGTGGTGGAGACAAGTTGCGGGTAGCTCTGCCGTAGGGGGAGGGGCGTGGTCGCCAGGTGGGGCTAAAAAATTGCGACACGGTGCGCTTGTTTCTCGCCAGCATTGTTCGGGCGAGTCATGGTCAGCTGAAAGTCTGGCTTTTTTGTTGTTGGTCCGTCGGCTTGAGAGTTGGGAAGAATTATTGGCGTTGGCGTTGGCGTTGGCGTTGGCGTTGGCTCAGCAAGCACTTGTCGAGAGACCAATCAAGATGGAATCGCAGCCGATCAAGGTTGTGGTGCGGATCCGTCCGTTTTCACGAAAGGAGGCTGCAGGCGGGGCACGTGATGTGCTGCGGGTGGAGGACGGGAACGTGGTTGCCGTCCCGCGTGTGTCAGGCGGGAGCGCGACAGGCGCGGCCGGCAAAGGGCCGGCCACGACCGGCAGCAGCGGGCCGGCTGGCGGCAGCAGGGCCTTTGGCTATGCCACGGTGGGCAGTCGGCCGCGTAGCGGGTCGGCGGTGGGCGACGGAAGGGGCGTGGCGTCGTTTGAGAACTGGGCGGCCGGGTCGGTCGGCTCGGGCGGGCGCGGCGGGCGCGGAAGCGGGCGAAGTGCCAAATTTTCAAATGGCGAGTTCGGAGGCGGGCGGAGCCCGCTGTCGCCGGTCGACACCAACAGCGGCGGGAGCGGAGGAGCGGCAGGCGGGCGGAGCGGGAGCAAGGCACGGACGCTGAGCTTTGCCTTTGATGCTGTTCACGACTGTCGGGCGACGGACAGCTCGGGTGAGGGTCCGGCATCAGAGGCGCAGCTCGCGGCCGACCAGCAGGCGCTGTTCGACGAGCTCGGCGGTGAGCTGCTCGACGCGGTGTGGAACGGGTACAACTGCTCGGTCTTCTCGTATGGACAGACCGGCGCTGGCAAGACGTACACGATGGTCGGCGATCGGGTCGGCTCGGGGCGCGAGGGCTTTGTCCCGCGGTTCTGCACCGCGCTGCTGAACCGGATCAAGGCTGCGCGCGGCGAGGCCGGGCGGCGGTTCTCGGTCTCGGTCTCGCTCCTCGAGATCTACAACGAGCAGCTGGCAGACCTGCTGGCGTCGCGGCCGAGCCGGCCGGGCGCAACAGCAGCCAAGCTCAAGATCCGCGAGGACCCGCAGTTTGGCCCGTACTGCCCGGGCCTCACGCGGGTGGAGGTGAAGTCTGCCCAGCAAGCTGTCGACCTCATTCAACTCGGGTTTGCGTCACGGACGACGTCATCGACCTCGCACAACACGGTCTCATCGCGCTCACACGCCGTCTTTACACTCACGTTTACTTCCGAGTGGACTGACGAGGCGACCGGGCTCACCGAGGCGCAGGTCTCGCGAATCAACCTTGTAGACCTCGCCGGCTCGGAGCGGCTCGGCTCGATGGAGAAGCGCAACGGAGTGCTGCTCAAGGAGACTGGCGAGATCAACAAGTCGCTCCTTTGTCTCTCGCGGGTCATCACCCAGCTCGCCGGGAGCCAAGGCGGGGCCGGGAGCGACGAGCCGGAGCACGTCTCGTACCGCGACTCGCTCCTCACCTGGCTCCTCCGCGACTCGCTCGGCGGCAACTCGAAAACGGTCATGGTGGCGTCAGTCTCGCCAGCGGCGTCGGCGCTCGAGGAGACGCGAAACACGCTACGGTACGCGGCGCGCGCGTCGCGGATCGTCAACACCGCCCGGGTCAACATCGATCCACGGGCCAAAGTCATTGCCGACCTGCGGGCGCAGGTCAAGGCACTGCAGGCACTGGCGACGCCGATGCCCAAGCCCTCGCCGGTGTCACGCATCTCTGAGCTTGCTGTCGGCTCGCTCAACGACTCTTCGACAATTGAGGATGACGACGAGGACGCCGGCGGGAGCGACAACGACACGTTGCGCGGGTGGCGGCTAATGCCGGCCGAGATGGCGAGCGCCGCCGTGCAGACCTCGCCACTCAAGGCGGTGCTGCCGGGAACGCGGCTCGAGAACGGGACGTCCACGGCGTACCTCGTGTGCCTCTCGCCGGACGCAACCGAAGGCGAGGATCTTGTGGTGGGCGTCTCGTCGGGCGCTCCGCGAGTCATTGGCTCTGCGCCCCACCTTGTGGAACTAGCATGGGACGCGGCCGAAGGCGTGGCTGAGCTCAGCCTCTCGTCGCGGTACGCGCACTGTGTGATCCATGACGACAACGAGGCTCGCGAGCCGCTTGCACGTGGCAGCTCAACACGGCTAGCACCGGGCACCACGTTCACGCTCGGCACAAATCGGCTGTGGTGGTTCCGCGGCCCACCGGCTGAACCTGTCCACGCCACCAACCTCCTTTGCTCCCCGAGCCGAACTTCGGCTAACCGGTCAGCTGGGTTTGAGGCACTGCTGCGAGCCTGGCCTCAGGCTCCTATTTCGCCACCGGAGTTGGGAGCAGCACAAGCGGCGCTCCTGACCTCGCCGTCGGCTCCGCCTGCCTCGCAAGTACCGGATGAGTCGGTCGAGGTCTCGCGTTTGGAGAGTGAGCTCGCTGGCGCACAGCTGCGGGCCAAGCAGGCCGAGCGGGCTCGTGCGGCGGCGGTGGCACGGACCGACGAGCTTGAGCTCGAGCTGGAGGAGATGCGGGCTACGGTGCAGCGAGCACATGCCGAAGCGGCAGAAGCAGCCGAACGAGCGGCGGCCGCGGCTACCGAGGCGGCGACGGCCAAGGCCGGAGCGTCAGGAGCAGAGATGATGGCGAGCGGCAAGGTCGAGGCGCTGAAGGAAGATCTGGCGTCGTACCGGAGCGAGAATGCACAGCTGAGCCAGGAGCTGGCATCGGCGACGGCGGCAGCGAAGCGTGCTCGCGAGAGCCTCCGGGCAATGGAGGAGCGGGCAGAGCGGGCAGAGGCACAGCTGGCGGCAGCCGAGGCCGAGGCGTTGTCGGTGACTGAGGAGGCAGCTGAGCAGGCAAAGCAGATGGACGAAGTCATTTCATCGCAGGGCATGCAGCTGGAGGAGCTCTCTGACTCGATTGCATTCCTCACGGCACAGCTGGAGAAGCGGAACAACCCGACCGGATGCGCCACACCAACCAAGTCGCTACAGCTTGTGGTGGCCCGGCTGAAGGACGAGCTGCGGCGGCGTGATGAGATCGAGGCTGATCTGCGGGCGCAGCTCGGCAAGAGCCGCGATGAGGTGGCGACGACCCAGGCGTCGGCGACGGCCCTGAAAGAGCAAGCAGCGGCGGCACGGGCCGAGATGAGCGCAGTGATGACAGAGCGCAAGGCAACCATTGCCGCCGCTGCTGCCGAAAAGGCCAAGCTGGGCAAGCTCAACGTCGAGCTCGAGCGTGGGCACGACGCGCTGACGGCCAAGGTTGGTGCGCTGACGCGCGAGCTGAGCGAGGCCAAGGCTGCAGCTGCGGCGTCGGCGGCGAGCGTCAAGTCGATGCAGATCGAGCTACTTGCGCTGCAGATCGAGCTGACCAAGCCGGCGGTCCCGGTGTACTTTGGCTCGGGCCCGGCCAAGGCGCTGCACGTCGGGCACGACCCTGTGGCTGCACTGGGGACAGCGCTGGCGCGCGCAGCGGGATCAAACGGCTCGTCGGCGCAGCGGTACCTGTTTGTGGCACTCAACAACGGCGACGAGCGCTCGGAGCGGCTGCTTCGCGATGAAGAGGTTCCGCTGGACCTGGTGACGGCGTGGGACCTTGCCGGGGTGGCGCATCTGCGCTCATTCCACTATCGGGCCAAGGGCCGGATCCGCGTGTACGTGGATGGCGAGACGTACAAGACACTCATCATTGCACCGGACACTAGCACGGACGAGGTTATCGAGCTCGTGGTGGCACGGTGCCGGGATGGCGGCCTCGACATCGGCCCCGCAGCGAACACCAAGCTCCAGCTCGACGACCGCCTCGCCGGCGTGGTGTCTGACGTGGAGCCGGGAGCGCATCCGTTGAGGATGCTCTCATGCTACCCGATCCACGAGCACGCAAATGTCCGGTTCGTGCTTGTGTCGACAGCGTGAATGTAAACGGAAATGTAGCCTGAGCTCACCGACGACGGCGTTGACGCTTGGGCGGTGGCGGCGGCTCGGTCGTGTACGAGGCGCCGTGCACATCGTCCACGTCGGAGCCAGATGACGGGCGATCACGTTTGGATGGGGCGTATACTGCCCATCGCGATGCGGCAGCAGCGGAGTTGGCGGAAGTAGTTGCTGGCGGTGGCGAGACTGAGTATGAGTACGAGTACTCGGGCGAGGCGAGGCGCGGGGGTTGGCAGGAGGAACAGCATCGTCCGAGTACGAGTATGTGTACGAGTCGTCGTGACCACGTGTACTCGCAGCAGTAGCGAATGTGGAGGTAGCTGCGGGTGCCGGGTTGGGTCCGGCGCTTGTGGTGGCTCGGGCGAGGTTGAGAGCCTGGACAGCAGGGCGGACGACGGCAGCACGGGCATCACGGGCAAAGACCTTACGGAACGACTGCTTGGCACCGCACATGCGACAGGCCCACTTTTGGCCTTAATCTCCTTCTGCACCTGGTACGTGGCACAGTCGTAGCATTGGACCGCGAGGAACATGGCCAGGGCGGGTGGCCGAGAAAGGTCGTGGTTTGGTCGCGAGCGATGCAGCGGTCGACGCCACAGCGCGTGAGAGTGGCGGCTGCGGCCGACGGGAGAAGGTGCAGACTTCACTTGTGAGAAGAAGAGGTACACACAGCAGCGACGTAGAGCATGAGCATAGTTTCATGTGTTGTTCGTGAGCTGGCGTTTGCTGCAGTGGCTGGATAGAAGCGGCGAAGCGAGCTGTCGCGGCGGGTGCGTGTGGGCAAGCGCAAGGCGGTCGAAGGCACAGGCAGTTGTGAGCTGCAGGGCGAGGTGGAGGAGGGAGAGAGAAAGAGCAGGTAGGATCAGTCCCGGCAGTGGTTATGAGTGCGTCATCATCAGTCGGTGTCGGTGTCGATGTCAGTGAGTAAGGACGAGCAGGCGGGGTGGGGTGGGCTGCCGGCGGGCAGCGGAGGTGGTGGTGTTGACAATGGCGCGACGATGCGATGACGACAACCACTCGCAGCAGGTCAGCTGTCGCTGCACTCCCTTCGCACTCGCACTCCTGCTCCCGCTCGCCCTTCCGATCCGGATCTCATACCCTCATCTTCAACCGCAGCCTCGGCACGGCCTGTCCGCTCGCTCGTTTGGGCTGTCGCTCACTTGGGCCCGCCCGGCAGCGATCCGGGAGGGGAAGATTGGGTTGGAGGGCAGACTGGTAGTCAATGCCATCGCTGTCGCTATCCGGATGCTTCGCCTCCGGTGCTCTGTCGATGGCTAGCTTGATTTCGGTGGTGCCGGAGGTGGTCGGTCGGCGGCGGGCGGCGGTGAGCAGCAGGCGGTCGGCAGTGATGCTGTTGACGGTATCGTGTCGGCTGGTGTGCGTATCGGGGAGCAAAGAGTGGGTGGTTATGCTTGCAGGGGTGGTGAGTACGTGTGGTGAGGGTGTGGTGGTTGTAGATGGAGATGGTCGGGAGTGGGGGTCAGAGATGGGCTCGGGGCGGAGGGGTCAGCACCTTCGAAGGGACACTGGGACAACAGCTTGGGCCTCAGATGGCAGAACTCGGATTCCGGAATACTGCAGCTGTGGATTGGATACTGTGCATGGGGAAGTGTGTGTATGTAGTCGGGTAGTAGTGAAATCAGATTGCGCATATCTTGCAATGAGGTTGGTGGGGGGCATGTGCGGGGTCGGGCGGTCGAGGGCGTGCTCAACCACCCAGGGCAAACAAGTCTACGCGGAAATGAGCCGAGGCAAATGGGTATCGATGATAGCGATATTGGTACTGGTGTTAATGTGGGCGAGTGATGACCTTGGGTGTGGTCGTGGGTCACGTAGCTGGTAGTAGGAAGGGGCTAGGTGGTGATGAAGGTGGGCTGATCGGGCGAGCGGGCGACGGCTGGCGGCTGGTGGTCGGCGAGGCAAGGACAGCAGAGGGGGCGGGGTCGGGACTAGGTGGCTAGAAGTTGCTGTTGGTCGGAGGATGGGCAGTCTGGCATGTGATGGTTGAGGAGTGTGGGTATCGGAGTCGGGAATGAGGATGGGGGTGAGCTGGAGTGGGGAGAGGAGGAGGAGGAGGAGGAAGAGGAAGCCGAGTGCGCGATGGGATGGTGGTGGGCATGGCCAAGGCAAGGTGGTGGTGGTTGTCGCTAGGATGATAGTGATGGTGGTGGGGTAGGGGGTGGGGGTGGTCGTTTGTGGTGACGGGTGGTAATGAGTATGGTAGGGGGAGATGAGGGGGGTCGTGACGTGGGTGACGGGACGGGCGAAATGGTAGTAGGTATGGCGATTGGGCTTGAGCATTGATGAAGGTGAGTATGATACGGCTGATGGGTGTGTGTGGGGTGTGGGCGATAGGGGCGGCGGGTACTTGGCCGGCAGAGGGAAGGCGGCGGACGTAAATTGAGTTGAGATGGACGTCGATGGAGACGATGGCTTGGGATTGGAGGACAATGCAGACCACTGCACTGTAGTCCACCACTGCGTTGGATACCGTTTGCCCTTGCCCCCTCTTGTTCTTCCTTGTCTTGGCCAGCCCGGTGGCTTCGTCGTCTGGCTCGGTGGTCGGCGGCAGGGGCAGCTGGTGATGAGCAGGCCGGCGGGGGCTGTGATGGGCAAGGCCGGAGGAGGGAGGGGAGGAGTGGGTTAAAGGGCAGACTGGTAGTCATTGTCAATGCTGTGGCTATCCGTATGCATCGTCTCCAATGCCCTGTGCATGGCTAGCTTGCTCTCGGTGGTGCCGGAGGTGGTCGGTTGGCGGCGGGCGGCGGTCGGCGGCGAGCAGCAGGCGGCCGGCAGCGATGCTGTTGACGGGATGGCGTCGGCTGATGTGAATATCGGCGGGCAGGAAGTGGGTGGATATGTTTGCAGGGGTAGTGAGTGTGTGTGGTGTATGTGTGGTGGTTGTGGGTGGAGATGGTCGGGAGTGGGGGTCGGAGATGGGCCCGGGGCGGGGGGTCAGTACAGACCTACCGTTAGGGAAC